GATCGATCAGAGGTAGATTTTTGTGATTCTTGTGACTCGAGATAAAGAGGACTTTCGATGAGACAGATCTGTTAGTGATTCTCTTGCTAGAGGGCCCGAAGAGTGTAGACGCTGCGGCACACTGGTCTGGAAACCCGCTTTATATGTTTAAAAGTCAGTTTTTCAAGTTTAATATTATGAAGAAATGTTTTTTCTATGAACTGGCAATCCTCCAAAGCTTCACGATCCACGCATAGTTCTCCTCCAGATGATTCTGTGATTAGATATACAGTAAATCTTCGATGAGTGTTCGAAGATTCCTTGGCATTCATGAGGAGAGGTCCCCAGGTGTAACGCTGACTTTTTATCGAGGTTTAACGAAGTGATAGAGCATGGAATTCTGAAGCTAAAGATATTCCTTTCAGTCGGATATGACCATTAGTTTATGAAATATTTAATGTGCAGTGCCGGGGAGCCTTCGAACACTCATCGAGGATTTATTGTATTTCGTCCGTATTTATAAAATATTAACTCAGAAACGAAGCCACGATCGCAATGTCATTATTCTTGATATTGATCTTAGTTTGGCATGTAAAATTCATCCTTTGAAAATGTCCCATATTTTTACTAACAGCCTGTATATCTGTTGATCGGTCAACGTCGCGATATCAAGGGCCCTTGTGTTATCGGCAGCTATCACCACAAAGTCGACTAAAAACGATGCGGTGGCTGCTTTCTTTGGGGCCTCTAGCGGGAGAATAATCCTGTAGTATCTTTAGTGTTGTCCATAGGTGATTATTCTTAGACTTTCGGATGTTTTTTATTATTGGCCGGTGAAAAGTTTTGACCTTGAGAATTGGAAAGTCTGTGGTTTTTATTGATTAGGATATTGGCTCCTATTGGAATGCGTTTAATTCTATATTGATGTTTGATGCAAAACATGTTTAACCCCTGGAGAGTGAACGTTTTTCGTTGCCCATGGGCGAGCGAGTTTTGGGGTCATTGCCGCGGTGACCCCTCTGGGGGTACCTTCCCTGTTGTGCATCCCTCCTAGGGAGAGCTGCGATACACAACCCAGAACGTACTAGTAGTCCCTGATGAAACTGATATTCACTCCTAGCGGGGAATTTCGGTAAAGTCCGGTGGGCTACTTCACTAATTTGAGTGAAATGTTTAGTAAAGTTCACTTAGGTTTTTATTTTACTGGTAACTTGACAGACTCCTGTATACAGTAAACCAATGTTTTTCAATTCCAGGTTTCTTAAATTAGTCCACGAAAGTCTACATTCGCATAAACATCCGCAGTCTAGCGATTAACGTAGATAAACTTGGAGGAACTAGAGGATTCAAAGTGGAAGAAGGACCTGGAGCCTCAGAACTTTCGCTGGACAACACTAATCTTATCATTTAATTTTATAATATTTCTCAGCAAAGCCATTAATTACCTGCAGAGACTGAGAAACCGATTTCTTAAGCTTTCATCGTTTGAACTGCTTGTAAATCTCCATTTCAGCCCGATTCTTTCCATCGATCAGAACACGCGTGTCCGGTTCCGTGTGTCCACTAAATGTTACGTAATGTAACGGTCATCGTGAACGTTATAGAAAACCCAATAAGTGTGAGCGAGAGCTGGTGGTGAGTGAGCGAGTGAGTGGACGGAGTGAATGAAAGTGATACAGCGGCTGCGCCGCGAATCGTGTGACTGACTCGTGTGTTGGTGAGCGTGTAAAGTGGCGAGTGGTGATGGACAGACAGACAGACAGATAGATAGATAGACAGCTAGGAAGGAGAAGATCAGAGAAGACAGAGGTAAGGAAGAGGTTTCGGAGTGGAGCAGGACGGGGCGATGGTGGGTCATCGGACGTGGGGGATGAGTCGCGTTGAACGGTTATATGGGGTTGGTTATGGGGTGTCAGGTAACGATATTTCGTATGAACGTGTAAAAGAAGAACAGACGAGGTTTCATTTGTCATTTTTGTTTGCTTGGTTACGCTCGACGCCGTATGTGCACGGTAGAGGCGTCTTTCTGAGCTTATCTGAAAAAGGGTTGAAAGCGATGTACAGCTGATACGCGCTTGATCAACGATCGTCGATCTTGCCTGGCACATCTGTAATTTTGTACATATAGGGCGTAGCTGCTATCCCTAGTAGCAATTACTGTTGGTATTTTGACAGGCTTTTGATGCACTATTGGTTGGCCAACAGTTAGAATTGCTACCCTTTTCTGCAACTGGGCCAACGATTATACTCAACGTAGGGCCCACGTCACTATACTACGAAGGGCCAACTGAAGGTTTTTTTCTGTAGGGCCAATTGTTGAGTATCTACAATAAATCAACAATAGGAAGACAGTTGGCTATACTACACTTCCATAAAATCCCTTAAAAATATTTGAAGGAGTATAACACTGGAAATAACATTTATAATAATTACTTGTTATGAGAATTATATATATATGTATAAATTGTATCTGTATATTAAACAGGTACACAAGTATTTTACCAGTAAAGTTACCTTTACAATTTATTATGTACAATTTATTATGTACAATTTATACATGTAGGAGCGTTGGATGGAGGTCCCGATGCCACACTCGGCCATCCTGCACTGACATTCGCCCTCGAATATCTTTTGCGTACGTCTTCTTTCCTTGTTTTTTTCGGGTAACACTTTCCTACTTTTCGACTACTGGGAGACGTGCCCTTTTCTTCGTCGTCATCGTAGTCATCGTTATCGTCATCGTCGTCGCCTCGTGTGGTCGTAGATGCATCCATCCCGGACGAGCCCCCAAATGTAGGAGCGTTGGAAAAATGAGAGAGGACCCAAACGGGATTTGAACCCACGACCCCTGGTGCCGAAAGCCGAGACTCTACACTCTGCTCCACGGAGCTCTGCTATTTTCCACTGATGTTATTTGCTCCTTCTTGTTGGGTATGGAGGTCCCGATCCCACTTACATGTAGCTAATTATTACAAATAATTATTATTATAAGTTATTTCCAATCTTCTGTCCCCTGACTCTTTTTCACAAAATGTCAAATGTCAAACGTGTTGCGCGACAGTAACTAATTGTGAGTATATTCATAAATAAGAATACAATTAAACGTTGGCAAACTTTGGGTGGGCCAATGTTGTATTACCATTGTAAATTTCTGGTTAATTAACCAACTATAATAATTGTAGGCCCGAACATTGGATATTCGTTGGCAAATTGTCATAACTTTGTCGTCGTTGGCCCTATTTTGGGAATTTGTAAGCAAAAACACCAACTATATCCCAACTAACTCTTAACTGTTGGTCACCGTTGGCCAACCATAAATGCTACTAAGGATGATAATATCACCGGGCATAATTTCAATGTGGGATGACACTCTTATTTCTTCTTTGCATGAAAGTTACCAGTACACTGAAGTTATTCAGGAATAACGCGTATAACTTTTCTTTGTATAAAATCGTTGTTCGTTATTCATGAATAAATACTGGCGTTTTCGATACTTCGAAATAAAATTTGGTCAACTGGAAGATTCATTGTGCAAAAATATATCGAACATGTGCAATGAATTTTTTTATTACTATTTGATACTGTTTTATTATTTAATATATTTTAATTATTCTAGTTGAATTAAGTAGAAACAGTAAGTAATGGGCAGACACTTAGTTTTGTATTTTCGATTTAGTTTTACACAGCGAGTTACCTTATGCCTGGCGGTATCATCATGATCACCTTGTACCTAAAAAAATGAGACTGGTCCTTTTACTAATTTTTTAGACGAACATTTTTTTAAATTAACAAGGCGTTATTTTTCGTTCCATATCTTGTTTTCTAACATTTATACATTTTTCTCTGTACTTCTGTATTTTCTCAAATATTGTTTCTGTGAAAATTCATAGAGTAGATATTCTCTTGTGTCATTCTTCCGCTTTTGGAGGATAAGCAGTTAAAAAGGTTGAACGTTCCTCTTTGGTTCGAGATAGGAGAGAATTGGATTAACAAGACCTATATTTCTATCGATTTATACTTTGCGTAAGTACAAGTATGTATCGGAAGATTGTAATTGCATTTTCTTTTCAATTAGAACAGTATTCTCTCCTTTGACGTATATCAATTCCGACGAACATATTGTAGATAAAAACATAAATATATAGACTTCAGGAAGTTAATAGTTGGAATATTTAAAGCAGATGACATAAATGACTGGATGGAATGATTGAACGTTTGATGAACGTTGGAACAAAAAATGTATTATTAAATATTATATGTCGTATAAAAAAGTCTACTCGTCGTAACATATGTTTCTTTATATAGATCGTTAGTAATTAATTTATGTCAGCGAAAAAAATGGTTCGACATGAAAAAACTTCAGTACATTGTGAAGCACTTAAGTTTAAGAGTCTCTAGACACTTAAGACAGTTAAGATTCTACTTACACAGAGTGTAGGTAGACTCCTTGTTGGACGACTAAGTCTTTGTGTATGCTATTGTCAAGAGCATGAAACGGGGTACGAGGCTAACAATGCGTTCTAGCATAGACACAAAGTGATTATCATATGCTTGAAATGCCAGAAGTAAACTGATTGCAGACAAAAATTTATTTCAATATCCACTCTGCGATTTGTTATAAAAGTAGTATGAAAACACTTGAAGATATTATTGGGTACAGGCATAGTCCCTTGTTAAATTTCAAAAACATTCTTCTAATAAATTATGAAATGATATTTCTCAGTTATATTCCAATTGCCCTCCGAAAACTCGATTTCTTTTCACTGGAAATTCTGGAAAAATTCTGAAACAACTTAGTTTCTATGGAATTAATGAAATCGCCTGATCGTCAATGGCCATTTTGAAGATCGACACCGTTGACGCGCGATGATACATAAACGAGTCGTATGTTACTATGTGGTAACGTAATCATGTAATGTGTCTGTATGATGGTGGACAGGGGCGAGGATGTCGAATATTCTCAAGAATTGTCTCCCTGTTTGTAGTTTATGTATATTATAGACGCGCACGTGCGTACTTACAGCTCTCGATCTCGATATGGCAGAGCTGTCGATCCATCGGAAAGTATTGCAGGTTCATTGGACACGATGCTGTGATCGTTAAACTGCAACAAAACGTAAGCACAGATTCTGTCAGTGTATCAACGTCGTTAATCGCACGATTGTGCAAATGGTCCCATATAATCCTAATGCTTTTCTCCAGGAAACCACAATATGATATTCTATTCAAGAGTCCAGGAATGAAACGTTCATAGTCCACTCCAAATCGAAATGGAGATTTTAGAATTGTGCGTTGGACCACAAGAGAAGGTATCAAATTATAATACAATAAAAGGAAAAAAGGCGCACAGTCCAGAAAAATTAAGGACCAAAGAATCATGGGTTCAGTAAAGAACGATCAATGTTATATTTATCCAACAGAAGAATGATCAAAGTCCAGACTATAAAAACAAATTTTTCTTCCATAGAACATATAAACGGACTTTTTAAGAATATGTATTCAATGTTTCCAAAAATATTCAGAAACTTATTATAATGTTCGGGAGTTCACAAGGTTTGTTTTTCAAATATACTGAAAATTTTACTGTTTGCGCCTATGATCCTTTTCCCCATGGACTCTTCAATTACGTCGGGCTCGAGCTTTCGAGCGGATCGATTTCAAGTTCACTGTGATCTTCCTAACAATAACGATCCTAGGGGCAAGAGTTTAGCCAAAGAAAACTCTACTCCCTGAGCGTGTTATTGTTCCGAAGGAACGGCGATGGAAAGTTTTAACTCGAACGAAGGGAATTTACTCATGCACACACCGCTTGTGCCCGTCCCTATTGATTTCCCTGAACGTGTTCGTCGTTTCCTACACGGGGTGGTTCGAAACGGTCTTGAGTCTGAATCCAGAAGGGAACGTGATATAAAGGAACGAAAGGGTGAGCAGGAGGTCCAAGTTAGGTATGCATGTATTGTCTGAATACAGCAGGGAGTGTTAACACTTAGCTAACCGCGCGCGCAAAATATAACCTTAAAACTGGGGAGATTTCCCCATTCGGTTGGCTGAGTGTTAATATCAGAATATTCGAGGATAGTTTAGATAGGGATAGACACGAGCGGTGGGTGGATACGAGAGGCAGGGGAAAAGAAGGGGATGGAAAATGGTACCGAGCGACGCCGCGAACAAAGTGTTGGCTGGTACAATTGCTCCCTCATGTGTCTTGGCTTATTCTTGGGCGGCGGCGGCTATCGAACCTCGGCTAAAATGGCGCCAGGAAACGGTCGCTCTTGCTGCGTAGGAATCTTCGTTTGAGGAAAATCTATACCATTACACTTACTGAACTTTTATATTTCTTTGATATCGTACGATAACGATTCTTCTACATCTCATTCGTGGAATCTGAAGTTGCTATATTGCATGAACAGTGGATATTCATGTCAATGTGTACTTTCAACATAGTACAACCGATGACGGCAAGGTAGCGTCACCTGAATGCCAACTGTTAAGGTACGTTCTCACGTGACAGTAAAAGTCATCGCTTTTGTTGTGGAAATGTAAACCACTGCCATCACGACGCGTTATCTAATTTTCACGGCGACAAAAATCATAAAATTTATTGCTATGACCGTAAAAGTCACGATTTACGGTCACGTGAAAATGTACCTTCAGTGTCCGATGCTGTGAAACTGACGTCATGGAACTGTCAAACAGTACCTATCCGATATTCAAAGTTATAGGGCAACTGTTACCAGACAACTGGTAAAAGCTGCTCGCGAAACTAGCCGGTCGTCATAGTGTTCGTAGCGGTCGACAGAAACGTTGTAGTTCCGTGCACCGTTGAATCGACGACAACCTGTGATTGAAACCAAATAAGAGACACGGTAGAAAAATCGTGAGTACTCACCGTATACTACGCGTGATGCTTCCGGAGTGATGAATACGAATGAACTCGTTGCTGGTGGTAGCGATGTGAAAGTACGACTGCTTCTCGTTGACGAAAAATGTGTCTGGCACCCAGATGTTCTTGATGAACTCCGAGCCGACGCTGAGCGTCTCGACGCCAGTGCGGGGCTTGAACGCGAGCCTCGGGTCTGTCCAGAATTGTCGGAAGTAAAAATCCAACGTGAAGTCCTGACACGGAGAGAGACGGGCGAAACATTTTATTAGACAGCGAACCAGGCGGGCGGATAGTTTTTTGAGGTTAGGTGGCGAAGGGAACAACGTGGAAAAACGTTAACGTCCGCGCGGATGGGCAAAAATCCACGACACTTTCGACGATGATCTCGTCCACGACAAATCGAGGACACGCGAGGCCTGGTTGTTTCGTGTTTGTGTGTGTGTGTGTTCTTTTTTGTTCCGGTGGTGAGACACAATGATCCACGCGGGTTACAACAATGACCCCTCGTGGCCCGAACCACTAATCAAACGTGACGCGTGTGAACGTAATGGCGTTACCCAACAATGCGTTCGTTAAAAACTAACGAAATTTTCGCGGGGGCCCACACGTTGGTAGAAAGCAAAATGGGGAAACCGATTTCGCGATCGCGTAACGGGGATTTGTTTCATTCCCGACCTTTTATACGGATAAATCGATTTGCATCAATTAAATACCCCTGATTCATTTGACACATAGCGCCCTCTCGAAATACGCGCCGGTTTATGCGTCTCGGATGATCGCGAGATTTAAAACGATTACGTGAACGATTCTAATACGGTTGTTCTGTTTTATTCGATCCAGAAAAACGTTCGATGGGATTTTCAGCGATCTCAGAGGATGTTTCTTAGAGAATCATTACGTGGTAGACAACTTTTTTATTAGAGAATTTTAGTCTTGCAAGATGATCGTTATTCTTTATACACGAGATTCTGTAGTTGATTCTATAATGATTTATTTTTTCTACTTTTTCGAGTGAGCCATGTAATTTACCTTGAATTCTCACGTTTTCAAGGAAAAGTTTCTTAATGATCTATTAACCCTCGTATGACGCACTTGAAAGCCAAAGGCATTGTATATACTGTAAAAATATATTATATTCATTTACAAGCATTTGTAAAGAACAATACACAAAATTTACATATTTGTAAAAATTGATTCTTCTTCGTTCGTCATTTCTCAAAACATTAGGCATACTGAACGAAGTGACCTAGTCGTCATTATTCTCATAAATTAGATAGTTAATGGTAATCAATTTTAATCCTCGAATAGCCAAAAAAACAGACCAATCCAGGCCACTTTTGACCCATATTGAAGTATTAGATACTAAATATCATCTAGTAACGCTTATGTCATTGGACCAGAAACATGAGGCAAAAGGGACCCAGCTCGACTGGGCGAGGGTTAAAGGAAGGAGAGCTAACCCAAAATTGTGAAAATTAAAATTTATGACTAGTGGTCCATTGAATTTGAGGCCAGTGGATAAAAAGTGAAGGATAGAAACAAGATTGGAGGCAGTAAATAGTAAGTCTAAATTAGTAAGGGTTTCATTGAATATTGTACAAAAGAGTAATAACAATGAGGGGTCTATGGTTGAGTCTCGTGTCTCCTTACAAAAGCACGTTACATGAAGGGTTACAGGAAGAAACAGAGAATGTTCATTCTTAGTGATTTTACGATGTATAACAAGGTTTTTTAATTGCAATTTGGCATTATAGAAGTGTCGAATCACAAAGGGTTATGTGATTTGTGGACTGGTGGCTAAGATTTTGTGTACTGGTTATTTTCTCAATACAGTTCTTTTGTGACATTCCTAATTTCTATAGTTCCAGTCACGGCCGGTCAAACCATATTTTGTACAACACCCTAGTTAATTAATACTGTCCATCTGGCCATTAAAATCTGTTTGCAACTTACATTACATAGACAATTATTTCAAATTACAACACTGCCACTCTAAAATTTTAATCAGTTGTGTATACAATGCATAAAATAATTAATAGCATCTCTGAAACGATACGAAGCATTTATAAAGAACTCATGCTTATTACGTAATATCCTCTTTGCACCAATAGGTTTTCATTCGAAACATTCCTTGACATATTAGGATGGAATAAATTTTTTTACACGAACAATAGTAAACTATAAACGTTTTCTTCGGGCCCCGCAGCAGTAAAAAAGTTTAATCTTGAAGTTTCCAATCGAACAAAAATCATTTCTCCAAAAACACAACGTTTCCCATCAACCTATAAAAACGACAATTTCACACAGTAGAACCAACCAGAACATAAGACATCGATCACGTTTTCCTGGATCTATTTTACAGACCATTTATATCCACCATCGACTAAAGTGTTCTTTAAAGTGTGTCTGGTCGTTATCGGAGAGACGCGATGCCCGATTTTCACGTTGTTCCTCGTCCTCCCCACGCCTCCGTTTGTCTTTGGGCTGGGGGTTGGGGATCGGGGCGGGTTACTCGAAGCGCGGGGAGAATTTAGCGTCTTTCCATGGGAATGGAAAAGCCCCCGCCGCGAGGGAACGTTGTACGCGTGATTGTCACGGGATTAAAACGATCGACGATGCATTCGATGTTTAAACGTGTGGTGGTGGGGGCGGGGGGGTTGGAGGGTTGAGGCGGGAACCGAAATATAGAGCGACGCGTCGGATAAGAGGCTCGGGGTCGGTCTGTAATGAGCGAGGAAACGCAGAACTGAGATCGTGGACGTCGACAGGTATCACGAAACCCTTTCGGTCGGCCGATATCTAAGGCGTCTATGTAACACAAAGTGTCGTGGGGTTATCGTGACGCACAAAATCGGCTACCTTTGACACTTACGTTAATCTCTATTAAAAGCCCCTTCATTCGAGCTTGAGACTTAGCTCTGATCTAACGAGTCGAGCCAGTAACCATAAACAAAGGCAGGTGATGACCATTCAGGTCAGATAGCGACAGTGTTTCTTGAGCTTCTATTGAGCCACATAGTGGCTAGCTACCCGGAGGAATTAGGGATTTGAGGCTTTCAGGGCCTGGTATCATATAGATTTTTCTAGTGTTGAGGTTTGCAGTCAGACGTGTCTTTGTAGAATTATTTTTCTAATGTTTCGAAAGCATTGCACCTGGTTTCATCAGGAGGTCGAATGACAGATTGATATTTTATTGGTCTGTCATTCGACCCCCTGATGAAACTAGCTGTAATGCTTGCGAAACGTTCAAAGAATAATTCCACAAGGACACAGCTTGCACCCGAAAGCCTCTTCAGAAGAAGTTTTCACTTATACTGGCCGATGTTCGGATCCGTTTCATCACCACGTTGTCCACGCAGCTGGACACTTGGCAAAACTTCCAAGTCACCACTTAAGGATCATCCGGAGGACAGGGACAGAGACAGTTGCCAGCTTATAGCGGTTATGATTATTTATATCGGTTCGTCTCGTTGGACGAGGTATAATTCATTAGCCGGGCTACAAGCGTCTGCAATGGAATTGTTTCGAGATGTCTCGATCTGTCACGTGAACTTCCAGTTGTACTGTTGTTTGTTCGAGCGATTTCACGAAACTTGGAAACTCCGAGAACGTCGTGGGACTGGGCTCGCGACAGAAAACTGCGGCCACTGTTACAGCAGTTTAATCGGATCGATCTTGGTTACCATATACAGGGCGTTCTAAACAAAATGGGTCTGTGGTTTTAGGACTTTATACAGTAAATCTTCGATGAGTGTTCGAAGACTTCTCGACACTGACAAGGAAACAAAAAAATAAAATAAAATTTATATGTTTTACGTCGCGAGTCAAATTTCTTAGTATTTTTAAATTCCTACAATTTGTTTTTTACAATTTGGAGAATTTTATTATGTTGTAAATCTTTTTACATCCTGTATAGAATGTTCGAACATTTTTTGGTACTTTTGAATATTACATCTTGCGGAGGGTAATGTGGCTTGGGTAGTTAGAATGATTATGATGGATTGGTAACGATGATATAGTAGCAACTGCGTTACAAGAGCCATTCTTAAGTATATTTAGTAAAGCTAGACATACACAATTTACGCATAAGATAGAGTGAAGTTCTAAAATTCATTAAAACTTGACTTCCACCATTAATACTTTCAACAACTCAATTGTAAATGGTCGGCTTCACGAAATTAGAAATCCCGACTGATTTATTTATTTTATAATTTCTTTAATAGTTTCTCCTAGATTATTTTAATCGTGTTTTTTAAGGGATTCCAACTTCGTACGATAATACTATCTATTAAAACGGACACGAACGAATGAAATATATTTCAAAATATACAATTAAACATAAATGCTATTATAATAGATTTAGGACTTCACCATATACCATAACAATTGTAGATTGTTGTACATATTCAAATAAGTAAAGTACCAACACAGAGGAGAAATGGTTTTACGGAGAATACAGCAAGAGATTCATACACAACAAAAAAGTTGCTAAAAAAATGGTGTAGATATCCCGTAAATAAGATCAATTTCAGCAGGTAAGATAAAAAATATTTTAAAGTAGTCATAAAATAACGCTATCTTTGTAAACACACCCAGTGTCATTATTTTGATCTATACTGTATTGAATAAACATGAAGTCAAAATTTAGCGTTAATTCGAGCGTTTATAATTCGTACACAAATCGTGATATGTATGTATCGAGGATAGCTTGGAAATCCCTGTAAAATCGAACGATTTCCATCCATAATAAATGATTTCCCGGTATGGTTATTTGTGTTCAGGTGAATGGAAGATTGTGAAACGCTCAATCAAAAATTTTACGCACGAAGAAGAAATCAGAGCGCGATTGAATGAACGCGATTTCGTGTGAAGGAGTTAAAGGAAGCGAGAGTCGGTCATCCACCGCCAGCCGGTGGGGAGGGTGGGGGTAGATGATCGGGGGATGAAAAAAGGGATTTAATATTCAAAGGTCTTATCGCTTTAATAACTGATCGTCGAGCAGAAGTACTGTAATTTAATCGCCTGGACATAGATTCACGCCGAGAGGAGGACGAAGTAACATGTTTGGAAATATTCAAGGATCTTCGCTTAAACTTTGATTACATCGTTCGACTTCATTGAACGGAAAAGTGGTTTTCATTTCGACGTCGAGTCCCTCCCCCCGTGGATTCATCAAACATTGTAGCGTGCTGTTCGCCGTAAAGTTTCCGCTCGCCGGACGGGTAATTCGCCT